ATTAATATTTTTATGCCATGCGTTTCTGTAGTTAGATGGGGGTGTTTATAAAAATCTAATTTCATTGCGCTCACCTTCCCGTAAACCTGCATATAAGCAAGTTTAGGAGTCTTACACAGGTTGTTTTTTTTTTGTGGTGGGGTTTTGTTTTGTTGTTTTTTTCTTTATTTTTATTTTTTACAAGCATAGTCAATAATGCTAAAAAGATATTTTTCTTTTTTATTCAGTATGAAAGCCTAGGTACTACTTTTGGCTCTAACTTGTTTATAAAGCTGTTTTTTGAGTCACATGCTGAAATAAACATTTCTGACAGTGTTCAGGACTTCCACTGACAAATTAATATACTGTACTGAAACTATTGGGTTGTCCTGCCTGGCTTCCCTCTTCTGGAGCTCTGGAGGAAAATGCTGTAAATGGAAATAGGATGTGAGGTTTGAAGGCAGGGTGGCTATGCATATTGTACTTGCAGTCCATAATGAATTCAGCAAACATGGGCAAAAGGAAAGAACTTGTCATCCACCCTTGAAGGGGTACTGTTGGCTCACATAGTGTCTGAAAAATGCTGTATCAAAAAAGTCAAGGAAGGAAAAACGTCAAGGAAGGAAAAAGCCCAGAACTGACCCATCCCATCAGTTACATTGCTATGGTTCCCTGGCCAGATGGGACTAGTTAACATTGGTGTAGAAAGAAAAGTTCCTTATAGATAGCGGAAAATGATCAGACAATTCAGGGACGAAGAAGCCAGCACAGCCTGTCCATGAACTGGAAACTCTCAGTGTAATGCACTTAAATAGTGGTAGGTGTGAACAGCTTGAACTTCCCTTTGAAGTTTTCCCAAATACTGTCCATGACAGAAGTTAAAACAAAGGCAACCATGTGCAGTCTGAGGTGGATGTAGATTGTACAATTCACAGAAATTTGTTAACCAAGTACTTTTATTCAGACTTGTTAGCACTTCAGTTACTCTTCCACTGCTCTTGGTCTGAGTGTGGACTGCTTCCTTGGATTGGTGGATGGAAACATTGTAGTAATATCTTTAGGTAATAGGAAAAGGGGAAAGTGTTGAGTATAGCATTAGATTTCTCTATAGATGCCTTTAATGAAGACTTTGAAAGAGTATGCTTTCAAGTCTGGAAGGTAATTAATTTCTTTAAGTATGCTGAAATTGTTTACAAAGTGTCTTTTAGATGAGTAAGCTTTGTAATAGAGTTGGGCTTTTCATGCAATCTAATACTGACTCAAATCAGAGGTATTAATGTGCAGACATTGCATCCTTTTTTATTTGTCAGTGATAAAGAAAAGCAGTTAGGGAGAAAATCATAGAGGTAATACCTTCACAGATAGTTTTTAGGAGGTATAAAGGGAGAAATTGTATGTTTAGATTTGAATGAACTTGACATCTCTCTTACCTGAAAAAGACGAGTAGTGACTGTTAACTGCGGCCAAAGCTAACTGTGATTGACTCTCCCTAAACTGCAGTCTTGCTAGTCTTGGCTTCCACAGTTTTTCTTGAAGCTGCAATGGAGCTATAAGGGGTTGTTGGTTGATACTTCTTGAGCCTCCATGTCATCCAGCCCCTTTCTTGGGCCTGGGTAAAGCATGCCTCACTGGCCCCTGGGATTTGTCTTACTGTGGGAGTGACCAATACAAGACTTTTTATTTGCTCCCAAAATGCCACTTTCGCTGCTTAATCTATTAGTTATGTGCCTTTTTTGCTAGAGACAGCTAAAATTTGGGTAAAGATGACCACCTTCCATAACTTCTGCAAGGACATCAGTGTCGCACTGCATTGCGGTGTGCATGAAGCAACATTTATGTGGCTAAAGAGGAGCAACACCTGTTACATGGAGTCTTGTTTTTCAGATAAATACATATAGAAGGAAGAAAACCTTTTAATAAAATGAGACATTTTGGATCATCTGTTCAGAATAAAACCTATTTTCCTCCTCTTAGACAAGCATAAAAGGGACCAGTGAGGATCACTGCCCTTTGACAAAGTTCGTCTGCTGCTGGCATCTTCGGTACATAGGTAACTTCTGCTGTGGGAGTCAAAATTGAAATTTCAAAGGTGAAACACTGTTTGAAAATTATAAAGCTGAACAAATGAATTTACAAGAAAGATCAGTTATATTTATGCCAAAGATTTACAAGTAGTTTTAAACACTGTGTTTGACATGGTAAGTTGTCTTTATAATTTAAATGCTAATGAAATGGTAAACATATGTTAAATTTATGAAGATAATGAAGTTTGTCAGCTACATCTTTCTTGTGCCAGCATTCCTGCTTAGCTCAGGTCTGCATACAGATTTGGTGGAGTGGTGGTAAGAATCTATTTGACATTTGGGAGCAATGCCAGTGTAAAACTGTGCCCTGTTCTGTTTAATTTGATAATTTGTCCTGAACTGTTTTGAAATGTAGTTTAGGTCACCTTTATCTGATCATTCTTCCAAAAGCTTTGAAAGGTGGGTCTGCAAATCAGACTTCAGTCAAACAGAGTCACTGGTATTCAATTTGCAATAGCTGAAGTAGTAAACTGGCAAACAGAAGTGAATAAATTTCTGTTATTAATGCCTCCATTAATCATCAGGAGGTAGGTGTGTATGCTTTCTATTTTACACAGATTCTGAATCTATCCTAGGCTATTGGTCGTATATTACTCTGGCAGCAGAAACACCATAAGCTGCAAAACTGCAGGCAGATTTCAAATACTTTGTCATGTGAAATGATCTGTACTCAGCCTAGGAGTACAAAGAAGATTGCATTGTTTGCAGGAGAATGCTAATTGTTTTCTAATTTTTAAAACTTTTATGCCAAATGCTCTCTATACCTTGCTTAAAGACAGCATCAGAACCCTAGCTTAACTCTGATTTTAAATGTCAGTCACACTTCAACTCTATTCTTCTATATTTTTTCTGTAAAATTTAGTTAAAATATGTAACACAGCTTCACTGAGCTGTGTATATATAAAGAGAGGACAGGTCTTTTTTAACTTCATGGATCTTTAATTGCTTATGAACTTCAAAGAGAAACTTGTAGAAGTTAGATTGATGGCACTTTATAGGGTTTAGTTAATTGAATGCAACAGAGCTGCTCTTTGAATGCAACTCTGAAATCCAAATTATGTAAATCTATTGTTTCAAAACCAGCTAGTAGAAATAATCATCACTTTTGCAGCTGAAGATATTTTCTTCAGAATCCTCTGACACACTGCTTTCCAATTGATGCGTTTTTTTTCATTATGAAGAAGAAACTATAGGAATGTTAGCTTTTAGATTTTTGATGTTTGTGACTTCACTTGAATAAGCTTTGACTTACAGTTAATTAAGCGCAACTGTCAATGACTTTCTTGGGCTTATGCAGAAACAAACTTTATACTTATGAAATTACTGGGCTAGGAGAAGGTAGAAAATATGCTGGGAAAGTGTCTCAAGCGTATTTTTCCTTTCAAGTTGTGCAGCTCAGTTCAGGTGGTATTATAGTTCCCTTCCCATAGTTGTCAATGACCCATCTTTCTGCAATCATCACACTTTTCCTATAGAAAAAACAGGAATTGATTATAGCCTGCTTGTTCATCTGCTAGACCATAATACAGTGTTTACTGTGCTACAGCTGTGATCAAAATGACTGTGTCTCCAGCATCTACAAAATTTGAGCTCAGGGCTAGTTGTAAGTGTTTGGTCATCCAAAAAATCCATGCAGCCCCATCTGGCTTCTGAACTCAGCTTTCCTCCTGGATACTGTAACATGAGGTTTATTGTGTCTATGGAAGCAGGATGATGAGACAGAAAGGAGGAAAATATCTACTCTGCCTTCAGGTTTACATGTCCTTAACAGGGAGAAAGGGAGATAGATCCCTTAGTGGAAGACTGGTACTCAGGCAGCCCATATGGATTCCCTGGCATCTTGCAAGTAGATGCAAATGCTTTGATTTTATGGGAGAAGAGAGGAAAATTGCTTGTTTACTCTTTTTCCCACAGCCCCCTTCCTACTCCCCCCCCCCACCCCCACCCCCCCGCTTTTTTGTCAGGTATTGTGTCAGTTCTGCTTAAGACCAGAGAAACTCTTAAGAGGACTGTTATGCTCCTAGCTGATGTGTTGGCCACCAGTGAGTGGGAGGAGGAGGTAATTATGGAGAAATTCTGGCAGAGGTAGGAGAGGCAGAGAGTGACTCACCCTCAGAGGTGTGGGACACTTGTGTTCTAGTGCCCTCTCCAATCAGTGCTGAATTAATTATTCAACCCAGGAAGGAGAAACTAAGGGCAGATAACTAGTTAAAAATGAATATTTGGACATCTGTGCCTTCCCATTTCTTTGGGGTCTTGCTGGGGAATGATTCTCAAGTGTATAGAGAAAGAATTTCAGCACGTAGATTTCTGGGATGCTCTCTTATTTGGAGAGAAAGATCTGGACTCCAATTAAGTAAATACTATTTTGCATTGTATGTAAAGAGTTATGTTCATTTGTGCTACCTGATGTTGGCTGTTTTCTAATATTTGCCTAGCACTTTAAAATAGAAGGCATTTTTTAAAATGTTAGGTAAAATGGTGTTTTTGCAGCACCTGATAGTTACTGTCAGAAGAGGAAAAAATAACAGATCACCACTTGGAAACAAACCTCTGGATTTCAGCTTGCATGTATTGTCTCTGCTAGCTGATCTAATAGGCAACCATGAATTGCAAAAGTGTCTGACTTTCATGGGAGCCCAGCCTGGCCTTTTGGCACTGCAGATTTTTTCAGCTTTAGAGAGGATTTATTTTACCTGCCAGTGTGATTTATATACCATATGTCGCTTCTTCAGCATCTGAGTATCCATGGCCATAGGGAAGTGCTCAGCCTCATCTGTAGTGTGTGGAAATAGGTTTCTTTTAACGACAGTGTCTCCTACAGACCTGCTTTATTACATCCCTGTTTTTTTTTTTCTTGGTGGCTGTGTCAGCTATGCTGTGTGTGATGTAGAAAGAAGAATACTATGAATTCCTGGTTTTGTTTGCTCTTGGCAGGCACTACTACAATTCCTACCCTTGTGCGTACACCTACCTTGATGATGCAGCCTCCCCTGGATATCAAACCCTTTATGTCCTTCCCTGTGGACAGCAGCTCTGCTGTTGGATTCTTCCCAAATTTTAACACAGTAAGTAAAGGTGTTTCCACATTTAGTTTCAGTTTATGCTTTCCAAGCTGATTTTAATATCCAGTATTGGAGCTGCCTTAGGATGGTACATTGCTGACACAATTCTAGAGAACCTTTTTAAGCTGTGCTGTTGTGGTTGCTGTTCCCTCGTGTGAAAGACTCAGAGGGGGCCAATCCATTTTTAACTTGGTCTGTTGAAGTGCTGTTTGCATACTGAAAAAATGAACTATGGCAGAAATTTGATAAGTGATAGAATAATTTTGAGCATTTGCCTGGGCGTGTGCCTTTTCTATGCTGTAAAAAAAAAGGAAAAAGCAAAATCTAATGGAAGAACTGTTGACGCGGGAGTCACGGACAACGCAGAGACAATCGATGTGATCAAGCGATTGCCAAATTTATTACAAAGCCTTAACTCCTTATATACTATTTCTTACATGCACTTACAGTGATTTGGCATATTATAATTGGATACATGTCTTGAAGACCCTTAGTGACTAACATATAATTGGTTAAGCACGGGTGTGAGAACTTGACCTCGAAAGCTTGCCAACAGTCCACAGTTCTCATTAACTCGGTGAATTCCAGCTTCTTCTTATCTTGCTTGCTTAAGCTTCCTCGGGCCTCTCATGGCCTTGCTGTATCTTTCAGGATTATTCAGAGTTTATGTACCAATTATGCATTCTCCCATGAGAACACTGTCTCCACAAAGAAAAAGTGTGGCAGATAAGACCTAGATCCTCCACTGACATGAATAAAGTTGTCTATTACAGACAGTAAAGCACCTGGAGGATCTTGTTAATTCCGTGTTATAATAATAAAGTAAAAAATGGTACAGTCAGCCAATGTGAAAGTGTGAGCCTGCTGCTTCTATTTTACGGTAAAGCATCTTGGGTTTTTGGAAAAAAAAAAAATTATTGCAAAAATTATGCTTAATGCTTCTGTAGTTCTCTGTGGTTATCACAGTAGCAATAACAAAAATGTTCTCTTCTATAGTTCTTGGTTTAACAGCTCATAAAATGCTTCTGAATGTTATCAAAATGCTTTTTTGCTATCACGCTTTATCATTTGTTTAATTAATTATTGTCCTAAATACATTGAGTGCCCCAAAACAAACACTATTCATGTTGCCACTCAACTTTCATGTGTGGAGGTAATTCAGCATGGAACAAGCCAGCAAATATTAAGCTAATAGCAACAGGAAGGAAACTGCTCTGGGTCATTTCTGCCAAGTCAGCAAGTATGATCTGTACGTGACTGCCTGAACTGTATAGCATCGCGCATATCACTGTCATTGCAGGGGGAGGGAGAGGGAAGCAGTGTCATCACTGCCAGACAGTGATCGGCTGAACCACTGCCAAGTGTTTCCTTTGGCAAACTCACCTTCTGTCTGAAGTTAAAACAGCAACAGAATTTTTGTCTTCATGACTTGCAAATAGATCTTGCTGACAGGCCTTGTAGTACAGCACGTGGTGCTGTGGGATGGTTCTGAGGTAACATGTCAGCCAGCTTCTTTCAAATGGCAGCAGCCCAACACGTCACAAAAGTAGCATATATTACTAATTCATTGGAGAACATATATGTGAAAATTGTGCATTTATGAGGGAGATGTGCACCTATGTCGATTTGGAGGGTATGTGCATGTGTACAAAGAAGAAAAAAGAGTCAGTTATGTTTAAATTGCAGAACCAAAACTCAGTACAGTTTTAAGAAAGCAGTGTGTCATTCTCATTTTCTAGGCATAATGCAATTCATACTAATTTTCATCCCTTTTCTAATGCGCTTGAGAATTTTGTTACCAGTATTTCTGCTTGTAGTTGCACTGGTTTTATAGATGAGCTTTTTCACATATATAAAGACTCAGAGAACCTTTTCTTTAGGGATGCTGTAGTTGTAGAGTCAACCAATTTTATTTTCTTACTGGTGGTGTTATTGAGTTTCTGAGTTGCAGTAGCCTCTAGAGACAGTTAGATTTGGATATGTAGACTGGTTTTGCCTATATACTCTAGCTTACATTTATCAGAGTTGCACTGCAATTTGCCTAATTCCCAGGGTGTGTTTATCCTTCATAGCTGTCATTCCTCTCCAAACTTCTGTAGGTTTTATTAAAAAAAAAAGAGGCCTGGGGTAATCAGCAAATACTGTCAACTCAGTGTCTGTTTTCTCCCTTGGAATTCTTGATAATTATAAAATATGCTGCTATGCACCATAGATGCCGCCTGTTTAAACTGTCTGTTTTGAAGAACAGCAGTTCAGTACTACTCTATTTCTATTTCACAGACTTTGCCATTTATTTTGCAGGTATTGATTTTCAGTAGCAGTCTTTTACAATGGACTTTAAAGCTCATTGGAAAACTAAATCATTCATGGTTATCTACTGACAGGCACAGTGAGCGCCAGCTGTCATGCACTTTCTTTCTCTTTCTTTCTTTCTTAATTTTTTAACTTAGCACAACCTTTGCGAATGTAGATTTCTGCGTTTGTATACATATTGTTTTTTTCACTTTTTCACTGTAAGGTGGTAAGGGCACTTTGTAGAAGTTAGTGAAAAGTCTTTTTCCAGAAGATAATTTTGTGTGAGTAGAAGCTAAATCCAGTTGACCCATAATGCGTGTGCCATCCAAAGTGCCATAATTTTTCATCTTGTGCAGGAACAGAATATTAGAAGAGCTTTTTGTCCCTTCCTACTAAAGAAGCTATCATCTGCCTTATGGATCAATCAGGAAATCTATGCACTTCCCTCACTAGAGGACTTGTCAAGGACGGTAGACAGTAAAATCTCTGAGGTGCTGCACTTAATCTCATTGCCTTCAGTATTACCGAGAGGACCCTGCAGCCCATGCCAGAGACCACTGTTCATGCTTGCATGTGTTCATGGAAGGTGGGCAAAAAGAGTTGTAGTCTCAAGAGAAAACTTCTTTGGATCCATCTGTTCATCTGCAATGGCAGTCAGATACAGAAACATTTTCCTGAATATTGCCAGGAGGTGGTTGCTGACTTAATTTCAGTTGCCTGAAAAAGGGGAAGTTTCTGCTTAGGAGCTTAATACAGTAACTATCAGAACACGAAAAACGAGGTAAAATACGTTAACTACACACATGTTTGAAGGAACACCCCCTACAGTTTTTCAGTTTTTCCCAAAAGAGCTTCTCTTATGTATGGAAATAAATTTAAAATCTCAGCTAAACACTTTCTTATATAGTTAACTTTGACAGTTTTCAATTCTGAAAACATCTGTGATGCTCCAGATGAAACATCGGTGTTCCCATTTTGTTTGTGAAAGTGTTCTAATGACTTGTTTCTCTCCACATGTGGTACTTTCAAATGAAGCACAGATCAGACCCTGATTTTTATTGTTTTTTTTTGGTAAGGAAATGCCTACTTCAGGTATATCTTACTTTCTTGACAGAATTGCATAATTTAGTTTAAAATGCTTCCCTTCTGTTTCTCCTAGAAACATTAATAGTTCTAAAAATGCTATGGATGTATATCTAGTACTTTTCAGTTCACGCCCTAATTAAATTTGTCTTTGTTCCTTAGGACTTGCTTATTATATGGGAAAAATTAATTGGGAAATGATTGCACTAACTCCTTGGATACATGCCTTTATTTCTCAGTTAGAGTGCCTTTTTGTTTCAACAGTTTGCCAGAAAGGGACATTCTAAGGGCAGAATGAAGGGTTCCAAGCAGAACGGTATTGCAGAATAGGTGCTTTCTTCTTTCCTGGTCTTTTCACAGCACCAACAAATAGTTTTGTCAGAACAGGACAGGCATGATCAGACCGTCACAGTCTGAACCTGAGTTGCTGGATCCAAAGATGACATCATGTTTGTCCAGGCATCAAGTCCTAAAAGCTTTTGCTCAGTTATTCATACTCCTCTGTCTGAAAAGCACAGTTTGAATCAAGTTTTTGGCTGGTATTACTTAAAATATTCTTGTTTATAGCAGATGGGGAGACAGCATTATAAGAACTTCCCAAATTGGTACCTCCAATTTGAAATGGATGTATACAAAAAGATATTGTTTAAGTAGAGCTCTTTTTTAGCACTCTAAAATGTCTTTAATTAACTCCTTAGCATGTAAAATCTTGCATAATAATTGCATTTCAAGGTCTGTAAGACTTCAAAATCAAGTTCATAAAGTCAGTGAAAATGAAAGTTAACATTACTGTGGTCCCCATTGTGTGTTTATTGTAATGTAATCTTAAATTTTACATTCTTTGGCTTCTGCCACAGAACTTCACCTTCTCTATCAGTTCTTTCTCTACACTTCCCTGATTCATCATTTCATGTCATCCATTTTGCGTACTGAATTAAGAGAGGATGCCTTGTGATCACATCATGGAAGGCCGAAAGGTAGGATTTATCTTGCGAGGCAAACTTAGCAATCGTTGTCTGCATCTCCCTTTAAAGTATATATACTCCCCAGAAAAAAAAACAACTAAAAACTCCAAAGTCTTCTACCTTGTCTTGAAATGAGAGCAGCACTACATGATCCAAATTCAGTCAGAGTGGTACAGCCAGGGACCTGTCAGTCTGCACAAAAGCAGAATCAGCAGCTTCTCAGATTCTATCATCATAGAAAATAATCAGCAATTCATATGCTACCTTCTGAGTTTGTTATGGCCTCAGGGGTAATCAAAGATTATAGCATCTCTTGTAGCTTTCACATTAGTGAAATATTTTGCATTTAACTAGCCCATGATTGGTTTCTAAATGCTAGCTCTTGCCTTCATATTTTAGAGGACACATGGGTTAATGTGGCCTACTTACTGCTTCAGTGTCTATTTCTCTTCAAGTAGGTTTATGCTGATTCTTTATATTAGAGTTCCCTCCATCTCCTTGCGAAGTGGACCAGAAAAATTTTACATCTGTCATTGAAGGTGAGCCAGCTGGAATGGGCTACAGGAAGGGAAAGAGGAGCTGACTACTAACTTAGTCAGAAATCTCTGCCTCTTCTCCAGCTTTAGCCCTGCCTGGAATAAATATCCCTGGCCTACCCCC